GGTTTTTTTCAGTGCTAACTAGATAAAATTAGATTTAATTATATATATCCTTTTATTTAACAAAACAAATCAGGGCTTTACTAAGCTTCAACCTTAGTAAAAGAGGAGCAAATTAGAGACAAAGTAAGCAGAATAAAAAAAAAAATCAATGAAATTAAAAACAGGAAATTATAGAGAAAAAGCAACATACCCCAAAGCTGGTTCTCCAAAAAGATCAATAAAATTAATAAATCTCTAGCCTTGGCTACCAAAAAGAAAAGAGAAACAAGTCATTAATAGTTACAAAGGGAAAAGGGGTCATGACTACAATCCCATGGACATTAAAAGGATAGTAAAGTAATAACATGAATAATTCTGTGTCCATAGATTTGAGAATTGAAGTGTAATGGATCAATTCCTTGAAAAACACATCTACTAAAATTCACACAAGGAGAAATATACAATCTCAATAGGCATATATGTAATCTGAATAGGTATATATATGTATATATATAATAATGATATATAGTAATTATATAATAAAATTAATAATTTTCCAAAATAGAAAGCACCAGGCTCAGATTGTTTCACTGTTGAATTCTAGCAAACATTTAAGGAAACATCATGACCAGGCGTGGGGCTCACACCTGTAATCCCAGCACACTTTGGGAGGCTGAGGTGGGTGGATCACCGAGGTCAGGAGTTGGAGACCAGCCTGGCCAACATGGTGAAAACCTGTCTTTACTAAAATACAAAAATTAGCCAGGTGTGATGGCGAACACCTGTAATCTCAGCTACTCCAGAGGCTGAAGCAGGAGAATCCCTTGAACTCGGGAGGCAGAGGTTGCAGTCAGCCGAAATTATGCCACTGCACTCCATCCTGGATATAGAGTGAGACTCCATCTTAAATAAATATATAAACCAACAACATTTTTCTATAATCTCGTTCAGAAAATGGAAGCATAGGGAACACTTCCTAATTCATTTTATGATGCCAGCATTATCTTATTACCAAGACAATGAAAGGCCACACTAGGAGAAACTATTTGCAAAACACAAAGCTAATAAATGATTTGTATCCAAAATATACAAAGAACTGTTAAAACTTACTAATAAGAAAACAAACAGTCCAGTTCAAAAGTGGGTGAAAGATCTGAACAGATACCTCACCAAAGAAGATAGACAGATGACAAATAATTATATGAAAAGATACTTGTCATCATAGGTCATTAGAAATTACAACTTAAAACTATAATGAGATACCAGTACAAACCTATTTGAAAGACTAAAATCCAAAACACAATGTAAAATGCTGGTGAGAATGCAGAACACAGGAATTCTCATTCATTGCTGCTGGGGATGCAAAATGGTACAGCCACATTGGAAGACAGTTTGATAGTTATTTACAAACTAAACATAGGCTTATCATTTGATCCAGCAATTATGTTCCTGAATGAGTTGAAAACTTAATCCCACAAAAGTTTACACAGATATTTATAATTACAAATAATTATTCATAATGCCAAAACTTGGAAGTAACCAAGATTTCCTTCAGTAGGTGAACAGGTAATCTATGATACATCTATAACATGGATAATACTCAGTGATAAAAGGAAATGAACTGCTAAGTCACAAAAAACCATGGAGGAACATAAAGTACATATTGCTAAGTGAAAGAAGCCAGTCTGAAAAGATTATATGCTGTATCATTCCAACTATATGACTTTCTGGAAAACAAAAACTATAAGGACATAAAATATCTGTGTATAGTCATGAGTCTATAAATTATTTAGTTTTGTATATATGTGTATGTGTGCATATGTTTATGTGTAATAGTTTTTTAAGTTTAGCAAATTCTAAAATGAACTAGTGTTTGTTTTGTGTGTGTGTGTGTGCGTGTGTGTGTGTGTGTGTGTGTGTGTGTGTGTGTGTAGATGGAGTCTTGCTCTGTCGCCCAGGCTGTAGTGCAATGACACAATCTTAGCTCAGTGCAACTTCCGCCTCCTGGGTTCAAGTGATTCTCCTGCTTCAACCCCCTGGGTAGCTGGGATTACAGGCAAACGCCACCATGCCCAGTTAATTTTTGTATTTTTGGTAGATACAGGGTTTCACCATGTTAGCCAGGCTGGTCTCGAACTCCTGACCTTGTAATCCGCCTGCCTTGGCCTCCCAAAGTGCTGGGATTACTGGCATTAGCCACCATGTCCAGCCTTAGTTTTTTTTTTTTTTAATTGAAGTAAAATTTATATAACTTAGAATTAGTCATATTGAAATGTACCACTCAACACATCCACATTGTTGTGCAACTATTACCTCTATCTAGCTCAAAAATGTTTTCATCACCCCATAAGTGAAATCCAGCATCTAATAAGCAGTCTCTCCCTATTTCCTCCTCTCCCAGTCCTTGGCAGCTACTAACCTGCTTTCTGTCTTTATGGATTTGGCCTATTCTGGGTATTTTATTTCAGTGGGATCATGGAGTGTTCAACCTTTTGTAACTCCTTTGTATTGAATATACCACATTTTGTTTATCCATTCATCAGTTTATGAACATTTGTGTTATTTCCACTTTTGGCTATTGTGAATAGTGATGCTGTGAACCTGCGTGTGAAGTTTTCGTTTGAACACTTGTTTTCAGTTCTTTTGGATATATGCCTAGGAGTGAAATTACTGGGTCTTCTGGTGATTCCATGTTTAACTTTTTGAGGAACTTGTAAACTTTTTCTGCTGTGTTTTACCACTTTATTTCCCACCAGCAATGTACAAGAGTTCTAATTTATCCACATCCTTGCCAGTGCTTTTGATTTTCTTCTTTTTTAACATTGTAGCCATGCTAATGTGTGTGAAATAATATCTCACTGTGGTAAAATGAGTTTTATATGTAGCTTTTCTGCCTGTAACTTACTTTGTATGTTAAAAGGAGGTAGAGTGATCAATATGTTACAATCTGTTAATATCTTATAAATGGGCCAGGCACCAAGGCTCATGCCTGTAATCCCAGCACTTTGGGAGGCCATGGTGGGCAGATCAACTTGAGGCCAGGAGTTCAAGACCACCCTGGCTAACATGGTGAAATCTCATCTCTACTAAAAATACAAAAAATTAGCCAGGTGTGGTGGTGCACTCCTGTAATCCCAGCTACTCAGAAGGCTGAGGCATGAGAATTGCTTGAGCCTAGGAGGTGGAATTTGCAGTGAGCCAAGATTGTGCCACTGCACTACAGCCTGGGTGACAGAGCAAGACTCTGTTAAAGAAAAAGGAAGGAAGGAAGGACAGAAGGAAAGGAAAAAAAGGAAGGGAGGGAGGGAGGGAAGGAAGGAGGGAAGGAAAAAAGAAAATCTAATAAATGGCCTGCAAATTAAGAGTATTTCAGTATTGTTTCAACAGATCTTTCTACAGAAATATAGTTTTGACATTTTAATAAGCAACTTCTACTTAATTTGATTGAGATAAATAAATTCATTAGAACAGGAATGTCCTTCAGAGGAACTCTTTGCCATAGAGGCATCTTACTTTGCCACAGAAGCTTCTAATTTGAGTACAACATGCTTGATTTTGATTGAATATAAAGAATGAACGAAGATACTGGCAGTCATCAAGCACAGCTTCTGATCAGTATTACCAAACCTTGCATGACTGCATCTAGTAAAACAATGAACAGCTCTTTCATAGGGTAATTCTTTCTATTTTAGACAGGTCTATTTATAAGCCGTGTTTTTCTGTATGCTGAACTAAAGATTATTATCCTTAAAGATAACGCTAATTGGAACTGGTTATTTTTTCTTGGTCCAAATCAAGTCCATTTTTTGGCATGAAGACAACTATCATACCCTTCCAAGTTATCTTTTTTTTTCCTCCTCAAATGCTTTTTGTTATTTCTACCCATCACAGTTCAGAGATCTCATACCTTCACAGTTGTACTTGCTCTCTTTTGGCTATGCTGTAGTTTGTGGCCATCCATCCTAAAGGGTATTTACTCTAGCTATGATCTGACCCACAGAATGGAACTTAACACATAAAATGTTTACATGTTCATCATAGCCCTGTGATTTGCTTATGTGTGTTCCCATTCCATTCTGCAAATGTGTAAACTTGGGCCCAGATAGTTGAAGAAACTTTCCTAAGGTCATATATTAAGTGGAAGAACTGAGCTTGAAGTCCAATTCAGATTTAACTGCCTGTAAAGCCATGGTATTTTTATTAATAATAAAATCAATATCAATAAACATAACTATCATTTATTGCATAGATAACATATTCTTTTTTAAAAACTTTAAAGTTTTTCTAAGAGACATGGTCTTACTACATTACCTAAGCTGAAGTGCAGTGGTACCATCATGGCTCACTGCAGCCTCAAACTCCTGGGCACAAGCAATCCTCCTGCCATAGTCCCCTGAGTAGCTGGGACTACAGGTGCATGCTACCATGTCTGACTAATTTGGCTTGTTTGTTTGTTTTAATGCCTGGGGTTTTGCTATGTTGTCCAGGCTGGTCTTGACCTCCTGGTCTCAAGTGATCCTCCTGCAGCAGCCTCCCAAAGTGTTGGGATTATAGGCATGAGCCACCGTGCCCAGTCAGAAAACATATTCTTTACATTGTACTAAGTACTTAGACTGCCATCTAAACCTCACAGCTAACTTGGGAAATACAGAGTACTATTTTTATAAATGAGGAAATTGAGGATTTAAAACCAAATGTGATTCTAAAACCACTAGATTCTAAGACTCTTAATATTATACCATCCTGTCTATGCTATTCCATGGCATAGCTGATATTTCAATAATTAGGAGCACACCTACTTGGTGTTTCAGTGTTCCAGATCTATATGGAATAGTCTGTATGATTATATAATTTGCAATTATCACAAATTTATTACTAATTTTTTCTTTCATTTCCTTTGATCCAAAAACATTACTGATTTGATTATACATTGATACAGCCTTTCTAAAGGGCAGTCTGTCAGTATTTAACAAAATACTTTTTAAAAAAATGATAACATTTCAAAATTTGTTTTCTTTTAGGTCCACCTCATTCATTTAACCGAGATGAGACAATAATCATTGCTTTGACATCAGTCTCTGTGTTAGCTGTTTTGATAGTTGCCTTATGGTTTGGATACAGAATGTTGACAGGTAAAAATCACCACTTTCTGTCCTATCGTTTATTAAACATGCAATTTAATCAGAATTTATTTTCTCCTTTTAAATTCCCTATGTTAAAAAAAAATACTCTCAAAGTTATGCAGAATACACCCAGCCTAAATAATTCTCACATATGGACAGTGTTGTTTCATCTAAATTATCAGTCACTACCCCTTTCCATGCCACTGGATTATTTTGAAGCAAATCACAGATATCATATATCTGTAAGTAGTTAATTAGATATCATCTATCTATAAATATTATCTCTATAATATAATGGCTTTAAGAATATATATTCATAGTACCATTTTCACATCTGAAAAAATAGTAATTCCTCAGTATCATCAAACGTTCAGTTGGTTCTAATAAGCTTTAGGTTTGATGGACTGTTTAAGAAATCAGCATTCATTCATTCACTCATTTGAATAACTTCTGTATAGTCTTCTTTAAAGTTTTTGTAATATTACTTAAGGTTTTAAACTTTTAAATTAAGTCATCATGGAAGTGTCTCCCAGAATTTGGCCTTCATGCCATTGTGCATTCATCTGCATTTATAGATGTTAGCAAGTTTAGTAAATAGTTTTATTCTTATTGAGATTAGGTGTAAATCTTGCTGCCAATCTTTCTGCAGCCCTTCTTTTTAACTATAATATTGTAAAAAGCATAAAAAGATAATCATTTTTAAAAAGCCATGTATTAGGCTGGGCACGGTGGCTCACGCCTGTAATCCCAGCACTTTGGGAGGCCGAGGCGGGCGGATCACAAGGTCAGGTTCGAGACCATCCTGGCTAACATGGTGAAACCCCATCCCTACTAAAAAATACAAAAATTAGCTGGGCGTCGTAGCGCGCGCCTGTAGTCCCAGCTACTTGGGAGGCTGAGGCAGGAGAATTGCTTGAACCCGGGAGGCGGAGCTTGCAGTGAGCCGAGATCGCACCACTGCACTCCAGCCTGATGCCTGGCAACAGAGCGAGACTCTGTCTCAAAATAAAAAAAAGGAAACCATGTATTAGTAACCTTTTTCCTGTTCCTATAGGAGACCGTAAACAGGGTCTTCACAGTATGAACATGATGGAGGCAGCAGCATCCGAACCCTCTCTTGACCTAGATAATCTGAAACTGTTGGAGGTAAGTTTGTTGTTAGATTATGGACTCTTGTTTCTGCTATTATACTAGACCTGGAACAGTGATTTCATTCACTCATTAAGACATTCATTCATTTATTTAACCCTTACTTATTAAATACCAGTTTTTTGTCAAGGAGTATTCTAGGCACTGGGAATATAGGTGAACAATACAGGCATGTCTCCTGGGGCTTATATTTGAGTTGGGGCATCTACAAACAGGTAAAGGAATGTATAATATAATTGCAAGTAGTAGTAAATGCTATGAAGAAAAGTACAGTGGATAAGAAAATGATGAAAAGGGGGTTATTAAAGAAAATATGGCCAGGCGTAGTGGCTCACTCCTGTAATCCCATCACTTTGGGAGTCCTAGACAGGTGGATCACTTGAGGTCAGGATTTCAAGACCAGCCTGGCCAACGTAGCAAAACCCCATCTCTACTAAAATACAAAAATTAGCTGGGAGTGGTGGCACATACCTGTAGTCCCAGCCTAGGTGACAGAGCAAGACTCCATCTTAAAAGAGAAAAAGAAAATATATTTAGAAAGGGGTTGACCTTGAGTCCAGATTTGTACAGGGTATGAGAATAAAGACATGAAATTTTGAAAACAGTGTGACACCAAGGAATCCGTAGTAGACAACAAATAAATACTCCTTGTATGCATATATTACATGTTTTTGTAGATACATAAGGCTCTTCTTATATATAGAAGTTACATTTCATTTGGTGATATCTCAGAAGCTACATTAAAAGTGTTGCTATGACAAGTGTTTTTATGATCTTTATTAAGAGTGACTTGAAAACTATGATCCCCAAACCAGAGACTATTAAATAATAGATATGATAGATTTGATTATATAAAAAAATTGTAAGAACTTTCTGTTTTGGGAGAGACATACCATAAACAAAGATAAAAGCCAAATTTGAAAAAAAAAATTCAACATACAAGGGAAAACTTGATAAATAACTGATATAAATCAAGATGAAAGAAACGTTCTATAGCAAATGGACAAAAAGGCTGGGTGTGGTGACTTACGCCTGTAATCCCAGAATTTTTGGGAGGCCAAAGTGAGTGGATTGCTTGATCCCAGGAGTTCAAGACAAGCCATGGGCAACATGGCGAAACCCCGTGTATTTGGTAAAAAATTAAAAAAATTAGCTGGATATGGTGGCACACGCCTGTAATCCCAGCTACTCAGGAGACTGAGAGGTTGAAGGATCACTTGAACCTAGGATGTAGAGGTTGTAGTGAGGTCTTGGGTGACAGAGACCCCATCCCAAAAAAAATGGACAAGAGATATTAACTGCCAATTCACAAAAGAAGTGTGTGTGGCTAAGAAATGTACAGTAAAATGTCCAGTTTACAAGGTTGAAAGAAATACTAATTAACCCATGGAAGTTCAACCATGATTAAGTCATAGAAACACTCCCAAAAATTGCTGAATTAACTTTATATTGATATAACCTTTTTAAAGCACACTTTGTATAATTTTAACCTGGAAATAGTATATGAGATACAACATACATCCTTAAATAAATGATGGTAAATCCCTAACCTGTTTCAATAAAAATCGAAAGCAATCCCTAGAAGCCAAAAATGAGAATGGGTTACATTTTGCTGGTTCTTTGTGTGTTCAGTAATTTTTTTGTATTCTGGATATTGTGAATATTGTATTGTGGAGACACTGGACTCTTCTAAAGTGTGTCAAGTTTTTTTTTGTTTTAGTAAGCATTTAACTTGGTTGGACACATATCACAAACTTGTCTGGGGCAGAAGCTCAAATCTCAGTTCAGTTATTTTATCTTCAGCTGGAGACTGTCTTGTACTTTTATTGAGTTTCCCTCTCTCTGACTTTCTCCTTTCTAGAGTTCTCCCCTCACTTGCCAGCAACTGTGGCTTTACCAATATGTCCTGAGTTTCCCAATGCCAGAACAGTATTCTTTTCTTTTCTTTTTCTCTTCTTTTATTTTCTTTTTTTTAATTGAGGCAGAGTCTTGCTCTTTTACCCAGGCTAGAGTGCAGTGGTACGTCTCAGCTCACTGCAACCTCTGCTTCCCGGGTTCAAGTGATTTTCCTGCCTCAGCCTCCTGAGTAGCTGGAATTACAGGTGCGTGCCACATGCCTGGCTAATTTTTGTATTTTTAGTGGAGACAGGGTTTTGCCATGTTGGCCAGGCTGATCTTGAACTCCTGACCTATCTCGTCTCAGCCTCCCAAAGTGCTGAGATTACAGGTGTGAGCTACCACACCCAGCCTAGAAACAGTTTTCTTTAGCAAGTTTAGTTCTACTGCACAGTGCTAATTTCAGCCTGCTCTCAGGCTAAAGCCATAAAAGTGGGTAGCTCAGGCCGGGCGGAGGCTTACGCCTATAATCCCAGCTCTTTGGGAGGCCGAGATGGGTGGATCACAAGGTCAGGAGTCCCAGAGCAGCCTGGCCAAGATGGTGAAACCCCATCTCTACTAAAAATAAAAAAATTAGCTGGGCACTGTGGCACACACCTGTAATCCCAGCTACTCAGGAGGCTGAGACAGGAGAATTGCCTGAACCCGGGAGGCAGAGGTTGCAGTGAGCCGAGATAGCACCATTGCACTCCAGCCTGGGTGGCAGAGTGAGACTTAGTCTCAAAAAAAAAAAAAAAAAAAAAAAAAAAAATGGGTAGCTCACCCCATGCCACGTTTTTCTCAGAGCCTTAATGACTCTCAAGATTTATCTGCCTTTAGAACTTTTTTCTTTTTTAAATTTTGTCTGGCATTTATAAATGTTATCTATGGGGAGGCTAGGTCTGGTAGGAGCTTCATCAGCCATACTAGAACAAAATTTATTGATTTATTGATAATGGAATGAACTATAAGCAACAGAGAGCTGTGGCATTCCATATAAATTTGTACTTTATTGTTTAGTAAATTTGATTGTTAGATTATGATACTAATTAATACCTTTCTTTTTTTTTCTTTTTTTTTTTTTTTTTTGCTTACTCTTTGAACATGCACATGGGAATACCTTGCTTTCTTTAAAACACATATAGCTGATTGGCCGAGGTCGATATGGAGCAGTATATAAAGGCTCCTTGGATGAGCGTCTGGTTGCTGTAAAAGTGTTTTCCTTTGCAAACCGTCAGAATTTTATCAATGAAAAGAACATTTACAGAGTGCCTTTGATGGAACATGACAACATTGCCCGCTTTATAGTTGGAGATGAGAGAGTCACTGCAGATGGACGCATGGAATATTTGCTTGTAATGGAGTATTATCCCAATGTAAGTACCTCATAAAAAATAAACTGAGGCTGGGTGCAGTGGCTCATGCTTGTAATCCCAGCACTTTGGGAGGCTAGGGCAGGTGGGTCACTTGAGGCCAGGAGTTCAAGACCAGCCTGGCTAACATGGCAAAACGCTGTCTTTACTAAAAATACAAAAATTAGCCAGGTGTGATGGCACACATCTGTAATCCCAGCTACTTAGGAGTCTGAGGCACAAGACTTGCTTGAACCTGGGAGGTGGAGATTGCAGTGAGCCAAGATTGTACCACTGCATTCCAGCCTGGGCAACAGAGCAAGATGTTGTCTCAAAAAAAAAAAAAAAAAATTGACGCTTATGTTAGTTGTTAATCAGACTTCAGAGAGGACAACTGTATTGATGGAGAGAGCATTACTGACTCACAAGCTGGATTATTAATGGTCTGCAATGGAATAAGGATCTCACACCACAATGTGAATGAACTGTATTACTAATTATACTGTTTATTCAGCTTTCTCCTCTTTCTTTGTTACTCTCTTTTATATTTAATTTTTTTGATAAGTTTTTTGATGAAGGAAGCAGTACTTTGATTGACATTCATTTTGATGCAAACTCCTTTTCTCATCAGCAACTGGTAATAGTTTGTAGATAAGCACTTTGAGCAGCACCAATACATACATAGATATATTTACAAAAGCCTTTTATTTTCTACTTAGGAACCATAACAATATGATTTATATTTGTACTGGTGAATGATACACGTTTTCTGTCTTAATTTTATCAAAGAATTGTTTAAAAGGAAATAATCATTCATAATTTTTAATATTGGAGACATAAAAATTGATAATGTTTAGGCTGGGTGTGGTGGCTTACACCTATGTAATCCCAGCACTTTGGGAGGCTGTGGCAGGCGGATCACAAGGTCAGGAGTTAAGAGACCAGCCTAGCCAAGAGTGAAACCTCGTCTCTACTAAAAATACAAAAGTTAGCCGGGCCTGGTGGCGCATGCCTGTAGTCCCAGCTACTTGGGAGGCTGAGGCAGGAGAATCACTTGAACCTGGAAGGTGGAGGTTATAGTGAGCCGAGATTGTGCCACTGCACTTCAGCCTGGGTGACAGAGTCAGACTCTGTCTCAAAAAAAAAAAAAAAAATTGATAGTGTTTAAATTCCCCTTGTTCCCATCCTCTCCTCTTCTCTCAACACCCAGAAATGTCATATTAACTCTTTCAAGATTCTGAAATGTCATAGTTCGTTGGATCTTCATGGACTCCTAGCCTATTTGCAAATTCTTTATAAGGATGCTAACTTACCTCTTCATGTTAAAGTAAGTTAATTCTACCTTTTTTTTCTCTTTTGCATTTTTCCTTCTATATAGGGATCTTTATGCAAGTATTTGAGTCTCCACACAAGTGACTGGGTAAGCTCTTGCCGTCTTGCTCATTCTGTGACCAGAGGACTGGCCTATCTTCACACAGAATTACCACGAGGAGGTAAGAGAGTCAATAGACGAAATTGACACTCATGTGGGTTCAAAATTTACAACAGGAAATTTTAATTATATCTTCAAAGTAAAAATATCATTTATATTATTGGATATTTATTGTTAGCCAGTTGTTTGAAAGATTCAACATGAAATACATTTGAAATGTAACAGACAGAGTTTTCCCATGCAGCTGCCAAGATGGCAGAGGGGCAGTCCTAGTGCTTGATAGCTGAGTCCAACTCCTGGGCTACCTGGAGGCTGTCATGACCCAGCAGAGAAAGTAGTGGTCATGTGCTGTGAGGACATCAACATTTCTGGCACTTTCTACAGAAACAAATTGAAGTACCTAGCCTTCCTCTGCAAGCAGACAAATAGCAACCCTTCTCAAGTACCCTACCATTTATGAGCCCCTAGCCACATCTTTTGGCAGACCACATGTGGTATGCTCCCCAACAAGACCAAGCAAGGCCAGGCTGCCCTGGACTACCTCAGGGTGTTTGATGGAATCTCACTGCTGTGTGACAAGGAAAAGCAGATGGTGGTTTCAGCCACCCTCAAGGTTGTGCGTCTGAAGCCTTGAAGAAGGTTTGCCTACTTGGAGCACTGGGCTTACAAAGCTGATGGGAAATACCAGACAATGATGGCCACCCTGGAGGAGAATAGGAAAGTCTATTACCAGAAGATCTATTAAGAAAAACAGTTCATGAGGCTATGAGAAAAGGCCAAAAAGAACATGGAGAATAAAACTGACAAATATACCAAGGTCCTCTCGGCCCAAAGACTCCTAGTCTGAGCCCAATAAAGACTGTTTATTCCTCATGCTTGCCCTGGCCTGCCCTTTTTCCATTGTTGCCATGGGATGTAGGGGACCCAGTGGCATCAGTCCAGGTGCCATAGGCAGCCTGGGACTTACAAAGCTGGAGATAAGGAATGGGCCTTAGTCATTGTCTTTCTATTATGTTACTTTAAACAACTCTTAAGAGTTGTGCAGACATAATTTTTCTATGATGTACTTGTTTGCAAGAGAGTTTCATAAAATCATTAGGAAGAACAAGCAGCTACTTCAGTTGCAGTATTAGCAGCCTGGGTGCAATGGCCCATGCCTGTAACCTTAGCACTTCAGGAGACCAAGGCAGGCAGATCACTTGAGTTCAGGAGTGTGAGACCAGCCTAGGTAACATGGTGAAACCCTCTATCTACAAAATACAAATATTAGCTGGACGTGATGGCATGCACCTGTAGTCCCAGATACTTGGGAGGCTGAGGTGGGAGGATTGCTTGAGCCTGGGAGGTGAAGGTTCTTGTGTCAGTTTGCTGAGAATGATGGTTTCCAGCTTCATCCATGTCCATGGAAAGGACACAAACTGATCGTTTTTTGTGGCTGCATAGTATTCCATGGTGTATATGTGCCACATTTTACTTGTCCAGTCTATCATTGATGGGCATTTGGAACCAGGACTATGGTTCCAGGTCTTTGCTATTGTAAACAGTGCTGCAGTGAACATACATGTGCATGTGTCTTTATAATAGAATGATTTATAATCCTTTGGATATATACCCAGTAATGGGATTGCTGGGTCAAATGGATTTCTATTTCAAGTCCTTGAGGAATCGCCACACTGTCTTCCACAATGGTTGAACTAATTTACACTCCCACCAACAGTGTAAAAGTGTTTTTATTTCTCCACATCCTCTTCCAGCATCTGCTATCTCCAGATTTTTTAATGATCGCCATTCAAACTGGCATGATATGGTATTTCAATGTGGTTTTGATTTGCATTTCTCTAATGGCCTGTGATGATGAGCATTTTTTCATATATTTGTTGGCCTCATGTATGTCTTCTTTTGGAAAGTGTCTGTTCATATCCTTTGCCCACTTTTGACTTATTTAAGTTCTTTGTAGATTCTGGATATTAGCTGTTGTCAGATGGGTAGTTTGCAAAAATTTTTTTCCCATTCTGTTGGTTGCCGCTTCACTCTAATGATTGTTTCTTTGCTGTGCAGAAGCTCTGGAGTTTAATTAGATCCTATTTGTCTATTTTGGCTTTTGTTGCCAGTGCTTTTGGTGTTTTAGTCATGAAGTCCTTGCCTATGCTTATGTCCTAAATGGTTCTGCTTAGGTTTTCTTCTAGGGTTTTTATGGTATTAGGTCTTATGTTTAAGTCTTTAATCCACCTGGAGTTAATTTTAGTGTAGGTGTCAGGAAGGGGTCCAGTTTCTGCTTTCCGCACATTGCTAGCTAGTTTTCCCAACATCATTTATTAAACAGGGAATCCTTTCCCTGTTGCTTGTTTTTGTGAGATTTGTCAAAGATCAGATGGTTGCAGATGAGTGGTGTTGCCTCTGAGGCCTCTGTTCTGTTCCATTGGTCTGTATCTCTGTTTTGGTACCAGTACCATGCTATTTTGATTACTGTAGCCTTGTAGTATAGTTTGAAGTCAGGTAGCATGATGCCTCCAGCTTTGTTCTTTTTGCTTAGAATTGACTTGGCTATGCAGGCTCTCTTTTGGTTCCACATGAAGTTTAAGGGGATCTGTGAAGAGGGTCATAGATAGCTTGATGGAGATAGCATTGAATCTATAAATTACTTTGAGCAGTATGGCCATTTTCACAGTATTGATTCTTCCTAACCATGAGCATGGAATGTTTTGCCATCTGTTTGTGTCCTCTCTTATTTTCTTGAGCAGTGGTTTGTAGTTCTCCTTGAAGAGGTCCTTTATATCCTTTCTTAGTTGTGTTCTTAGGTATTTTATTCTCTTTGTAGCAGTTGTGAATGGCAGTTCGTTCTTGATTTGGCTCTCTTTAAGTCTGTTATTGGTGTATAGGAATGCTTGTGATTTCTGCACATTGATTTTGTATCCTGAGACTTTGCCAAAGTTGCTTATTAGTTTCAGGAGATTGGGGCTGAACGATGGGGTCTTCTAAATATACAATCATGTCATCTGCAAATAGAGACAATTTGACTTCCTCCTTTCCTAATTGAATACCCTTTATTTGTTTTACAAAAAAATTTTTTTAATTAGCTGGGGGTAGTGGCACACACCTGTGGTCCCAGGTACTCAGGAGGCTGAGGTGGGAGGATCGCTTGAACCCAGGAATTCTAGATTGCAGTGAGCTATGATCATGCCAGTGCACTTCAGCCTGGGCAGCAGAGTGAGACGCTGTCCCAAAAAAAAAAAAAAAAAAAAAAGAATTCCTCTTCATATGCTGAACATTCTTCCTCCAAGCATACTTAGAAATTGTTCTTTTCAAAAGAAGTCATCCTTGGAGTAAACAACCTACAAATGAGAGAAAATATTTGCAAACTGCACATCCAACCAAGGTCTAATATCCAGAATGTATAAGGAACGTAAACAACTGAACAAGCAAATAGCCACATTGAAAAGTGGGCAAATGACATGAATAGACACTTCCCAGAAGAAGACATACAAGCAGCCAACTTGTATGGTATGAAAAAATGCTCCGTATCACTAATCATCAGAGAAATGCAAATCAAAACCACAATTTTATACTATCTTACACCAGTCAGAATGCTATTATTGAAAAGTCAAAAAACAACAGATGCTGTTGAGGCTGTGGAGAAAGGGGAACACTTCCACATTGTTGATGGGAGTATAAATTAGTTCAGCCACTTTGGAAAGCAGTTTGGAGATTTCTCAAAGAACTTAAAACAGAACTACCATTTGACCCTGCAATCCTATTGCTGAGTATATATCCAAAAGAATACAAATAATTCTACCAGAAAGACACAGGTACTTCTCTGTTTTTCACAGCACTATTCACAATAGCAAAGATATGGAATCAACCTAGGTGCCCATCAACAGTGGAGTGGATAAAGAAATGTGTTCACATACACCATCAAATACTACACAGCCAAAAAAAGAATGAAATCATGTCCTTTGCAGCAACATGGATGGAGCTGGAGTAGATTATGCTAAGCAGGAACAGAAAACCAAATACCACATGTTCTCGCTTTATAAGTGGGAAGTAGACCTCGAGTTCTTATGGACATGAAGATGACAGCAATAGAAACTAGGGACTACTAGAGTGGGGAGAGAGCGAGAACGGTAAGGGCTGAAAAACTGACTCATGGGTACTGTGCTCATTACCTGGGTAACAGGATCACTTGTACCCCAACCTCAGCATCACACTATAATTGCAGATAACAAACTTGCACATGTACCCCCGAGTTTAAAATAAAAGAGACCAGGTACCATGGCTCACACCTGAAATCCCAATACTTTGGGAGGCTGAGGCTGGCAGATTGCTTGAGCCCAAGAGTTTGAGACCAACGTGGTGAAACCCTGTCTCTACAAAAAAATATAAAAAATTAGCCGGGCATAGTAGCATGCACCTCAGGAGGTTAAGGTGAAAAGATCGTTTGAGCCTGGGACGGGGAGGTTGCAGTGAGCCAAGGTCTCACCACTGCACTCCAGCCTGGGCAACAGAGCAAGAGTGTATCTGTATCTGAAAAATAAATAAGGTCAGGCATGGTGGCTCACACCTGTAATCCCAGCACTTTGGAAGGCCAGTGGGGGTGGATCACCTGAGGTCAGGAGGTCAAGACCAGCCTGACCAACATGGTGAAACCCCCGTCTCTACTAAAAATACCAAAAAAATTAGCCAGGCATGGTGGCAGCACCTGAAATCTCAGCTGCTCAGGAGGCTGAGGCAGGAGAACTCACAGGAGCGAAACTCTGTCTCACAAAAATGTAAATACATAAGTAAAAGAAAAATTTTAAAAATGTTCTTTTGATTCCAGGGTATTTTCAGACTTTTTGAAGCCCATTTATGGACCTTAGGATAAGAACCTCTTAGCTAGGCTATATTATATTTTCCTTGTATTTATTTTGTTAAGTGAACTATAATGTGTCATTAATGTTTTTAATTTTTGTGGGTACATAGTAGTGTATATATTTATGAGGTACATGAGTTGTCTTTTTTTTGAGACGGAGTCTTACTCTGTTGCCCAGGCTAGAGTGCAGTGGTGCGATCTCAGCTCACTAC